GAATATGCTTCTCTATGGCTATGGAGCAACAACCCCATTTTATGAGAGATTGTCCTTGAGAAGAGGCTTTTGAAGACGTTTCTGAAGGCCGACTGAATAATAAAATGAACCGCCAGTCTAGGACATAAAAGAGAGCAAGAAGAAAAAAAAAAAGAAAAAGAGGAGCTCTCTTTTGCGGAAACATAATACTAGCTGTAGACCCCAACGAAGCTTCTTTACAAAAAGTGTATTCACTATCATAAACGTGTATGTACACTTTTTTTTAGAGATATGAATACCAAAACTTATAATATAAAACACGTTCAAGAAATTGAACTTTTTATAGGGTCAAAAATGAAAAAAATCCCTGTAAGAATTTAAGCCGTTAGTTTTTGATTTACTTTTAGTTAATAAAAATTGTGTCTGGTTTTTTTTTTTTTTTGAAATAGTGTCACAAAAATATTCCCGTCTGCAATTTTCACAAGTGCATCTAGCGTATAAGCAGGAAGCAGTTAGTTAAGCGCAATAAACAAGTGTTCAAACAGTGATCGCAAAAGTTCGCATTAACTTAGTAGCGTGACAATTATTATGTGCAAGTACAAAACTACCTTGCGTAATGCTGATCTTCCATTTATAGAGGTTGCTGCTCCCGTAAATTATTTCTATTTCAAAAGAAGAAAAGGAAAATGTATTTTTTTTATTCTTACTCTCTAAATCTGAATTAGTTTTCTACTATAATGAAAGAGTGCGGATTCGTTTACCAATTCACAGAAAATTATAAGGTATTAAAATAAGCTGCAACGCTTATTATTTTAATCCAATTTTGCTTATATTTTAATACCAAAATGGATTAAAATAAGAAAAATTGGATTAAAATAATAAGCGTTGCAGCTTATTTTAATGCCTTTTAATTTTCTGTGTTGAATTATTATAACAGTTTTGACTCTTTTTTTAGTAGAAAACTACTAATTGCTATGTAGAAAACTACTAATTCATGGAGTAAATCGTATTTTTTAGTATTTTAAATTAGTAAGCCGATTTACCCCATGAATTAGTAGTTTTATACTAGCAATTAGTAGTTTTCTACTAAAAAAAAGAGTCAAAACTGTTACTAATTCAAATATGGTAAACGAATCTGCACTCTTTCATTAGTAGAAAACTACTAATTCAGATTTAGAGAATAGAATTGAAAAAAGAAATCAATGTTCGAAATAGAAAAGAGTTTGTCAAAAGGAAGTGTTGCAAAAAGGATATACAAGAAATAATAATATTTAGAGAAAATATAGTTTTTATACCGCGAATTCGCAAATTTAATTCACTGAAAAAAATTCTGATTAGGCTATATTTAACATTACTTTCTAGTTATATTAACCAGAATTCTAGTTGAATTAACTAGAATTCTCATTAAAATAACCAGAATTCTGGTTAACCTAACCAGAATCAAAATGTTAAATATATACCCTAACCAGAATTCTGGCTATTCTAACTAGAATTTTTTTTCAGTGTTAATAAAGAAAATGTAAAAAATTTTAATCATCAATTCTAACTAATTTTAAAGATCATTTCTTTGTTTAAAAAATAAGGGGCAGATTGCTCTTTGCAGTGTGTACTATTTGTAGCATTTCCCCGAGCCCTCGAATAACAATTAAAATTGTCTACGTTCCCACGTAGCATGGCTTTTCGCCCTCGTGTGAACTTGACGTCGGTGAATTACATAAAAATCACTTTGCCGGTTGTATCCGCTATGCACTACTTTTATATATATGTGGGTACATAAAATCAATTCTATATATTTAATTCTACGATTAAATTTTCTATAAAACATAAATTTAAAAAAAAAAAAAAAAAGTGAATATATAATTTCATGCATGGAAAAAAAGAAAAAGTAATTTTTACTACATTCAGAATAAAACGGGAACTATCCGAAGTTTCTGGGTAACTTTTATTCCAAAAATAATAAAATTGACTATTTCTGTTAGGAAATTTTACTGTATTCGTAGTTATTTTTACTATTTCTGTATAGTAAATTTAACTAATTTTTGGAGTAAAAGTTACCAGAGATGCGCAACAAATTTTATTGTAAAATTTGTTTTTTTTCTCCTTAAAACAAAAAATTAGTTGAACCATATCCAAAAGCTATATTTAGATGGGAAGAATAGTAAAATTAGTCAATGTGGACAATTATTGTGTCAGTTAACGAAATAATTAAACGGGAAATTATACGAATGAAGAGATAGAGTTTGTAATGTGTGTTAATTACACACCCATAAATGAGGAAATAGACTTTATCATAGATATACCTCCGGGCACGGAAACAATTGCAATTTCAATTTGTGATCGATGATTTAGATTTGTCCAAGAGATATAGGGTTTTCTAAAACGAATAAGGTTTATATTATTTTATCTTTAGTATATATTGCAGAATTGGTTTTATTTATTATTTTTATATGTCGTCAGTTGGTTGAGTATTGGCAGAAATATTTTTCTTTATTGTATAAACAGAAGAGGAATATGTATAGTAATAGTGAACATGTTTCGAGAGAGAAGCCGATTCGACTGACGAAGCCCTGCTAAGACTTCCTGCGCGACCTTACATACATATTTTTTTTTTCTTCCTTCTATATATATTCAGAGAGAAGATACATCACAGAGAGACTAATACCAGATTAAAAAAATAAAAAAAAATACTCTTTTCTTTCTGTTCTGCTTGAAATTCTGATATGAGTAATTATCTTTTTTAAAAATTACTACATGATCTGAAAATTAGAGATTTGGATATTGTAATTTAATTTTTTCAAAACTATTTAAGAAATTATGTTTTAGTTTATTTTTCTTGAAAAAAAGTCGTATTTCCTCTGATATCATTTCATCTTACTTTCCAAACTATTGTATTCGTAAGTGAAACAAAATCTTAGACGATTCATCCTGAAGCTTGATGCACTGGAAGCACTAGAATTTCATACCTACTTACCAACACATATATATTAATTTTATACATATACCCGTTTAATGATTCACCTTATGTGTGTGTAATAAAGAAATCTTTTTATAATTACATATATATATATATATATATATATATATATATATATAATTATTATTATTAAGAAAGAATTATAATAACTTTTTACATAATCAGAAAATTTAAATTTTAGATTTTTAGCTTTGTATAAAAAAATGTAATTCACAGAAAATTAAAATGCATTAGAATAAGCTGCAACGCTTATTATTTTAATCCAATTTTGCTTATTTTAATCCATTTTGGTATTAAAATAAGCGAAATTGGATTAAAATAATAAGCGTTGCAGCTTATTTTAATGCCTTTTAATTTTCTGTATTAGTATAACAGCTTTTGAATTAGTAAAATATTTTTAATAATGAATTACAACATTTTTTACATTAATTCAGATTTAACTATTTCGTTTAGTCAATATTTATCTCTTATTCTAAATTCTATTAATTTTTTTTTCTTTCACAGAAGCTGATAACGATGGAAATGGCCTTTTATCAATTATCCCATTGATTGATGACCATAATCATATCAATTGATGACCAAATAACACTTCCTAGGTATGTTAGTAAATAAATATTTACATTTATAGATTTTTTTTTTATTCACTAGAATTTTAAAGATAACAATTTAGGAATCGAATCAAAATAAAATTATTTTCATTTTGAAAGAGTTTTTTTTTCAATTTTTATTTATTATACACGGAAAAAAAGAAAAAATAATTTTTACTATTTTCATAGTAAAACGGGAACTGTCCGAAGTTTCTGCGCATCTCTGGCAACTTTTACTCCAAAAATAGTAAAATTGACTATTTTCGTAGTAAATTTTACTGTTCCGTAGTAATTTTTACTATATTTCTGGAGTAAATTTTACTATTTTTGGAGTAAAAGTTGCCAGAGATGCGCAGAAACTTCCGAACAGTTCCCGTTTTAATTAAAAAGTAGTAAAAATGATTTTTTCTTTTTTTCCGTGTAGATTTTTATTTTAAATGAATTTTTAGGTAATTTTTATTTTGACAGAAGTTTTATTTTTTCTTACAGAATTTCTCTTTAATTTTTTTTTGTGATTTTAATTTTTAAATGTAAAATTTTAATTCGGCAATTTTTTTATTTAACCGAAATTTGCAAAATTTCCGAATCGATATTGGCGCTATTATTAAAATACGATCGTTATAATTTGTTATTGGTTGAAATATAATATTTATTTATTTAATCGGACAAATGAAAGTTATAAAAATAAAAATTCAGCATTTTAAAAATTCTTTTATAAAAATTCGGCTAATAATATTTTCTTTCTGTAAATTAAAAATTCTTTTAGAATTATTATTCTGTTATAAAAAAGAAATTCGTTTGAGTAAAAATTCTAAAAAATATACACGCGAAAAAAAAGAAAAAGTAATTTTTACTATACTTCTATAGTAAAACAGGAACTGTCCAAAGTTTCTGGACAACTTTTACTCCAAAAAATATGTAAAATTGACTATTTCTGTAGTAAATTTTTACTGTTTCCGTATAGTAATTTTTACTATATTTCTGGAGTAAATTTTACTATTTTTTTTTTTTTTTTTTTTAGTAAAAGTTGCCTGAGATGCGCAGTACTTTTAGACAGTTCCCGTTTTACTGTCTAAAAGTAGTAAAAATTACTTTTTTCTTTTTTTCCGTGTAAAATATTTTAAATTATAAAAATTCGACTAAATAGAATTTAAATAAATAAAAATTCAGCTAAAAGAATAAAATTCCAACTATATAATAGGGCTTATTTTTCTCTTTAAAATATAATATAGTAAAAAAAAAGAGCAAAACAAAAAAAAACAATAGAGGTAACTTTAACATGAGCGGTTTTTTTTTTTATAAAGTGAAGGGTACTGAAACAAAGTAAATACGCACCTGACGTAGTACTATGTTGACTGCATAGCAGGGACATTCCAGTGTGTCAGTACCCTGCCGCGCCGGTGAGCGCATGGGGCCTCATGAGTGAATTTGAAAGAAAAAAAAAAAAAAAAAAAAAGAGGGGAATATATAGGTACGGTCAGTGGGGACCCTAGTTGGACCTGGACCTCTTGGTATTGGGCATTATAACGTTTTCATACTCCCCCACTTTTTGGGGCCATAAGTCAGTTTGTCCGTCAGTTTGTCAGTGGCTCTCGTCGCGGTTCGTTGTGTTTTTCCCCTCTCTTTATGTGAAGTGTTTGTGTGTAGACTTGGGTGTGGTGATCATTGAATTCTTACATGTGTATCATTAAACCGGTTAGCTTCATTTTTTTTTGGGGGGGGTTTTTAATTTAAAAAATATTTTTTCCAAAAATTCCATTATTATTCACGGGGCAAATATTTACTATTTTAATTTAAAATTTTTAAAAAGCGTTTAAAAAAAAAAAATTTACTAAACAGAAAATTAATAAATAAATTTCAAAAAATTTGATTTTGTAACGCATTATAATTATTTTATTATTATTATTATTATTATTGCACTGAAAAAAAAATTATTTGATTCAAATACTCGATTACTTGACTATTATCAAATAAATATTTATTTGTATCAAATAATTCATTATTAGAGCCAATTAAATTGTATTTGTTTCAAATACAAAAATTATTGTTTCAAATACAATTTATTTAATTCAAATAAAAATTCTTTTTAAAAATTAAATTTGGAAATAGACATTATTTTATGAATAATAATTAAATCCAATAATTTTTTATTAATATTCATTAAATTTTTCGTTAAAAAAAAATTGACAAAATAAATATATTTGTTTTAAATTATTATTTTTGAATATTATAACTTTTCTTGAATAATAATAGTAATAAAAATAGTAATAATAATAGAAATAATAATAATAAAAATAGTAAAAATAGAAATAATTATAAAAATAATAGTATTAAAATTAATAATAATAATGATAATAGAAATAATAATAATAAAAGTTACAAAAGTTTTAAGGTAGTTTTACAATTTTTTTGTTTTTTTTTTCAAATTTTTGTGATTATTTTTTTTTAATATTACTTGATTTCTAGAAAAGTGGCACGCATGGTGCGTCAGTGTACGTTGAAAATGTCGGTTTTCACCTATAAGGTGAAGGGAACTTGTGAATAGTGCAGTGAGAATATCGATGGATTTAGAATTTTAGAATATAATATTGAAGCCTATGGAAGAGAATTCGTGGAAGTTGAAAAGCCTCTTTTGCTAAAGTGGGCTGGGATTTTTCGAGATTTAAATTTTGTTAAGGGATTTTCTCTCTTATAGGCCTTAGACCCCATGAGAGAGAAAGAGAGATTTTTTTTTTTTTTTTGGGGGGGAAACATGAAAGTTTTGTTTTCTGTCTCTCTCTCACTTCTCATCGTTAATTCTAGAGAGAGACAGAGTGAATACTAATAAAGTGACCTAAATTTTACCACACATGCGAGAAGGTTTTATAGTTTCAGTGGAATTTTGATTTTTTTTTTTTAACCATTGGTGACACCTTCTTTTTTTGAATCATGACAATTTCTGAGGAGTAAGTCACATAAAAAAAAAATTACCATTTTTATTAATTTTATTTTGGAAAAAAAATGAATTTAAAAAAAAATTTGTTTTTTTCCCTAAAAAATTGTATTAAAATTTTAGTTATTTACTAATTATTATAGTTTTGACTATTTTTTCCATCTAGAAATTAGATTTTTACTATTTCTTCCATCTAAAAATTAGTTTTTTACTAATTTTTTTTTGCTAATTGCTGAAAGAAAAAGTTTATTAAAAAAATTAGTTATTTTTAACTGATTTAGTTTTGATTAAATTTGTGTTCCTTAATGGATTTTATCATTATTTGAAAGTGGAGCCAATTGAAATTTTTTATTTTTCTATAGAGCTATCTTAATTTCTTATAAGTACTTAGGAAGTAAAATTAATAAGCGTTTCTTAATGTTCGATTTTTTTTTTTTTTAATATATAAACGAGGGACTTTCTCTAAAAATTATTTTATAATTTATTTCCACTGTTTTGCAGAGTATAATTATTAGTAATAAATGCAGTATTGCGTGTATTAAATTTCTATATAACTATTTTTTTTTTTAATTTCAATATAAAGTTATTATAATTAAAAATTGTTTAAATTTTGACTTAAATTTTTTTTTTCGAAAATAGTGATGTTATGCAAAACAAAATATCTCTACGATCATTTCCGGTAATTGCGAATTTTTTTTCTCGCTCTAAAAGCTTTTGCTATACAGTGAAATTCTTTTTTTCTTCTGTTTATATAAATCATGAGGAGTTTTTTTTTTAAAATATGATGAATTTGCGTTATATAAGAAGGGAAAACATTTTTTTTTTTTTTATAAACATTGAATAAGTTTTATTTTATTATTACTCTCTAAATCTGAATCAGTAAAAAATAACTAATAAGTAAGAAAAAAATAATTTAGTAAAAAGTAACTAAGTTTTAGAGAAAAAATAATTAGAACTAATTATAGTAACTAGAAATTTTAGTTATTTTAACATAAAAAGTGAATTTAATTTTTTAATTTTATGTATTTTTTAACTAGTTATTTTTATTAGTGTTTTGAATTTTTTGTTTTAAATTTTATTAAATTAGTTATTTTTAATTAAAATATTAGTAGAAATATTAGTACCTGACTTTGTCGAATTAGTTTTAATTTAAATTTAGATATAGAGATTATTTTTTTCAATATCATTTTCAAAATCAATATTCATTATATAGATGAATTAATTATTGCATATTAACAAAATAGGAATTTGCACTTGAAAAAAATATATATAATTAAAAAAAATATATATTTATATATAAAAACTGTTCGTGAAGTCATCGCAATATCAGAAGATAAAAATACATATATGAATCTGGGCGTGTAAACTTTTTTCTAAGAAATTCTCTTCTGTTGTGGAATCATGAGTCATCATTTGAGTGTTAAACTCTCAAGACGACATTCATTCATGTACAATCCATTTAGTTTATATCTAGTCTAGTATAGATATGAGTAGGTGTATATTATAAATCACTTTTAATAATTAATTAAGTTTATATTAGAAATATTAGAAAATGAATTATGTTTTTCTCCAATTTTATATATATATATAATAAAAGAATTATAAGAATTGCTGCTGTATAAATTGCCTCCAGAGTCACATTTGCAAAACACAATAAGTATATTTTGAGTTCAATAAATTGCACACGAACGTGAGAGAATTTTAAAAGAAAATTTTTGCCTCCCAATCAAGATTTTTAAAACTTTTAAGATTTTTCAAAATTCATCAAAATTAAAATTAAAAAAAAAAAATTCTTGCAAAATTTTTGCTAAACTAATTTTTCTATTTGAAAAAAAAAAAAACAAAAAAAACTTTATTCGGTATCGTGTCGAAATTTTTTGTATTATAATTATGTAAAGCTGAGAGTTTGATATTAATTATGTAAAGGAAGAAATTTCTTTTTCTTCTATAATATAATTTTTTTTTAATTCCCGTTTTTTGGACATGCACTGTTTCCCCGATGATTGAGATAGGCATCAATTTATAAAATCGTGTCACTCTTTAACATAATAGGAAATAGAGCGAGTCTTCCTCTATTTGTCCTTGCGGCAACAAAGCACAAAGACTAATTCGAAATAAAAGACTAAAGACTTCCTCTCTTTTAGCAATTACCTCAAAGATAAATGTCAGCTAAGAAACATCAAAGTGACAGTTACTTTTGATTCGATCTATGAGAAAATAGGAGTGTAAACACAAAAAAATATATATATATATATAAAAAATTATATCATCTTGACTATATTATTAAATAAATATTTACTTGAAGCAAATTAATTTTTATTTGAATTAAATAAACTCTATTTAAATAAATAATTTTTATATTTAAAACAAATATCGCATTTAATTGATTCAAATATATAATAATTATTTGAATCAATTAAATATTTATTTGATAATAGTCAAGTAATCGATTTTTTTTTCAATGTGTAATAAATTTCTTTGTAATTAATTTTGTAAAATAGATGTATTCTGCATTATATTTCCTCTGTTTCTATATTTGAAATGATAAGATTATTGTCCGGGGGTCATATTTCAAATCAATAATACGATATAATATATTTGTCACAGATCAAATATTTCTCTTGCTGTAAAATGTTATAGTATTTCTTTTTGGATTAATAAAAAATTAATATTTTATTTGGAAAATATTTTTAAAACGGATCTATATAATAATTATTATTGTTTGCAAAAATAAAATTTTTTTTTTTATGTTCTTTTTTTAATTTAAATCATAGATTTTGAAAATGGAACACGAATGAGAAGAAAAAAATTTATATATATATTTTGCAAATAAATTAATAAACACTAATTAGCATTCCACTCTATAGAGAACAAAATACGTGTGTAAATATGTGTTGTTAAAAGCAGGATGTAACTCGCATTCCTATGTGCTTACATCCAATACTTTTAACAAAACCCAAAGCACGTACTTATGTACAAATGCATGTTATTTTACCTCGTAAACAACCAGAATGATCGAACTCAAAAAACTGTTACACTATATGCGCCTGAGAACCATATTATAATAAATAATAGAAAAAAAATTTTCATGACATTTGTCTTCGAAAAATTCAATTTTTTTTTTATAGCAGATCTCTTATTTTGGTATAAATTTTTATTTAACAGAATTTTTATTTAGCAGAATTGGAATTAAAACGAATTTTTAATTGACAGAATTTTTGTTCAGCAGAATTCGAATTAAACCAAATTTTTATTTGGCAAAATTCTAATTAAACCAAATTTTTATTTGGCAGAATTCGAATTAAAACAACTTTTTATTTAGCAGAATTCGAATTAAACCGAATTTTTAATTGTCAGAATTCTTATTCAGCAGAATTTGAATTAAACCAAATTTTTATTTTGCAGATTTCTAATTAAACCGAATTTTTAATTGGCAGAATTTTTATTTAGCAGAATTCGAATTAAACCATATTTTTATTTGGCAGAATTTTTATTCAGCAGAATTCAAATTAAACCAAATTTTTATTTGGCAGAATTCAAATTAAACCAAATTTTTATTTGGCAGAATTCAAATTAAACCAAATTTTTATTTAGCAGAATTCTAATTAAACCAAATTTTTATTTAGCAGAATTCGAATTAAACCATATTTTTATTTGGCGGAATTTTTATTTAGTAGAATTCTAATTAAACCAACTTCTTATTTGGCAGAATTCTAATTAAACTGAATTTTTATTTGGCAAAATTCTAAGTAAACCAAATTTTTTTTGGCAGAAGTTTTATTTAGCAGAATTCCAATTAAACCGAATTTTTAATTGGCAGAATTTTTATTTAACAGAATTCGAATTAAACCGAATTTTTAATTGGCAGAATTTTTATTTAGTAGAATTCGAATTAAACCAAATTCTTATTTTGCAGAATTCTAATTAAACCGAATTTTTATTTGGCAGAATTTTTTTTATGGCAGATCTCCAGTTTTCGTATAAAAATTTTATTTAACACAATTTCCATTTAGCAAAATTCAAATTAAATTGAATTATTATTTGGCGGAATTTTTATTTTGGCAAACTTTTAATTAAATGAAGGTAATTTTGAAAAAAATTTGCATGTAAACGAAATTTTTGATAAAAACTGATTATTATAATAGAAATAAAAAAAATAAGGAGAATTATATCACACATATTCCGGGTTGAAAAAAAATGACTAACAATAATATACAAACAAAGGAATTATCATAGAATATTCATCGGCTATCCTCTTATTATCATACAATACGCTTATGTGACTGTCACACCTGGTACATTAAAAATATATATAAAACACGTGAATGACACGAATATTTAATCAATGCATAATGAAAATATACAAAAAAAAATCTCTATATTTTGCTCGTAAATTACATATTTTACATTTTATTTTTAATAATATTTATCTAAAAAAAACAGATTTTTGGAATTGTTTTTTTTGTCAACGTTAAATTGGAGGAATTTTTAAAAAAAAATTTCAATTATTTAATGTTTTATAAAAGAAATTAGTTTATAATAATAATAATAAATAATTTATTAATAACGTTGATTTTTTTCAGGATGGCTGCGGAAGCGGCGATTAGAAGAGCCGAACGCGAAACTCTTCGTGGCGTTATTCAACAATGGAATGCCAATCGCCTGGATCTTTTTGAACTCTCAGAACCTAATGAGGTAAAAAATTTTGAAACAATAATAAAAAAAAAGAAAAAATTAATTATTTTATTAGCTTATAGTAAAATATCAGTTATTTTTGCGTCAAATATTTACTTAATTTTTGTAACAGTTTTTTTTATTTATATTTTTATTTTATTTATAAAAATACATGGGCTGAGTATATTTTATAATTATATTACATTTTCTTTTCTTTTCTTTTATTAATAATTTTTTTTATTTTCTCTAATTTCTTTAGAAAAAAATAAAATTAAAAATTGAATTTACACATATTAGAATTTTTATTTAACTGAATATTCGCTAAAATTATATTAATAAGAATTTTTATTTAACAGAATATTCACAAAATTATTTTAATACGAATTTTTATTTAACTAATTGTGATTTTTATTTTATTTACTTTATTTAACAGAATTTTAAATTCGGAATTTTGTTACATAAAATTCTGCTAATTAAAAATAAATTGCTATTCAAAATTATTAAAAGAAATTCAGTTAAATAAAATTTTTACTATAATAATATTGTGTTTATGGAGTTAAATACAAATTTCTATACTAAATGTAAATTTTATTGTATTTGAAAATTAAGTGAAATAAAAATTCTTAATTAAATATTGAAATAAATAGAAATTTGGTTAAATAAAAATTATTTGATTCGAAAATTTGATTCTGCAAAATTCTTCTAAAAATTCTATTTAGTTTAATTAAAAAATAATAATAAAAAAAAAGTACATTTCTCATGAATATTTAACATTTTTTTTTTTCAGGATCTAGAATTTCATGGGGTGATGAGATTTTATTTTCAAGACAGCGGTCAAAAAGTAGCGACAAAATGTATAAGGGTTGCTTCGGACGCAACCAGTCAAGCAGTCATAGAAACTCTTATCGAAAAATTCCGACCAGATATGCGAATGTTATCCGTCCCTGAATATGCTCTTTATGAAATTCACGAAAATGGGGGTAAGTTTAATTTATAATTCATTTATTTATTTTGAAAAAAGAAACTCTCGATTATTTTCTAGAGAGAAATATTATCGAAATTGTATAATTTGAAGTTTTTTTTTTACGAGACATTTCTGAAAAAAAAAAAAAAAATAATTTTTTTTAGTCATATTTTTGACGTGGTGAGATCTTGGCCACCACCTTTCAAAAGTATAATGTAAAGCCTGTGGAATAACCGGTTTTTGAGGGTCAGGAAAAAAATTCTTTAATTGGAAGTGATTCTCAGTTTATGTGCGACTGATTATTATTATCACCGAAAAACCTTTCTTTGCATATTGTATATATAGACTAAAATCTATGATTACAACATTTCTTTTTGTTTATTTATTAAAATTTGAAATTAATAAAAGTGTAAATGAAATAAATTTCTAACTGTAGAGAGGGAGATACTCTACTACTCTACTAGTTTAACGATGAAGGAAAATATAATTTTTATTACTGCATTAGAGAATTTCCGTTCTATTTAATATATTAAATATGATATATAAAAAATAATATCGTTGAAAAAAATATCACTAATTTACTTTCTACAAATTGAATATAAATTTAATATTTTAATTAAAAAAAAATTTCTTAAAATTATTTTGATATAATTTATTTACGCACTAATATGTATATTTTTGAAATAATTTTTATTTGATAATTAATAATTCGTTTTTATTTTCAGAGGAACGAAAATTGGGTTTAGAAGAAAAACCACTATTGGTTCAATTAAATTGGCATGTTGATGATCGTGAGGGTAGATTTTTACTTCGAAGAATTGATGATAAAACAAATGCTCAAGGAGTTGGTTTTGCTGAGGGCACGAGTTTTCGAAGAAAATTGAGTAAACGTGAAAAGAAACAAATAAAGAAACAAGAAAAGCTCAGTCGAATGAAAAGTGCTTGCGAACAAGATGAAAATAATGCTCCTATAGATCAAAATGGAGTTGCTGAGAAACTTTACACTGGTTCGTTGTATAATAACATTCATTTAAAATATTAATCTCATATATACATATATAATTAAATTACCATTCACTTGCATTCATTCGATTAAATAAGTGAATACAAGTTTTACTTTCTTAAAATATTAAATTTCAAAAGAAAAGTTATTTTTAATATTTTGAGTAATTAAAAGTTTTATTTGGATAAAAATCACAAATTTTTCTGCATAAAAATTTCATTTTTATATAAATTATTTTCTTTCAAATGGATATTCTGTCAAAATACACGAAGAAAATTATTTGTTTTTTTTTTCAAAAAAATAAAATGAAAATATTTGTAAAAGCTCATTTTTTTGGCTTAACAAAAAAAAAATATCTAAAACAATTTTGAAATTTCGGAGATATATGTATAGTTAAATTTATCATTTTGATAAAAAATAAGACACTATATCGATTAACGAGCCACGTTACTAAGGTAGATTCCGGCTTGAATCAATAATTTGGCAATCGGAAGTTCTGTTTAAGGAATCTTTCTATTGTCATATCCTAAACAATGTCACTACTAGTTTATAAATTGTTTAAAACTTGAGTTCTTTTTTTAATTTTATTTATTTATTTTCTTTATTAAACTACTTAATTATTTTCTGGTTAATATATAAAAAAAATACAATTAATAATAAAAAAAGATTAACTTATAAAATTCTATGGTTAAAAAAGCACGAATTGAAAAAACTAAAAAAGAAATAAAATAGTCTAAGAAATACAAATATTATTAATTGTAATAAAGAGAAATTATTTAGGAAAATATTTCTATTTCTTAAAAGTGTTAATTATAAAATTATTAAATTGTGCAAATTTTTTCACAGAACTTCCTGAGACAAGTTTCACTCGTAGTATATCGAATCCAGAGGCTGTGATGAGACGTCGCAGACAACAAAAGTTGGAAAGAAAATTACAACAATTTCGTAGTAAGGACGGAGGACCTGATACTGGTGGGACATTAAAGATTTATGGTGAAGCACTTTGCAAGGACGTGCCTTATAAGACATTACTCCTTAGTGTCAGAGATTCAGCTGTTCAGGTAGTTAGGGAAATGCTCTCGAAATATAATGTCCAAGACGATCCCCAACAATACTGTCTTGTTCAGGTGAGTTTTCCACTTTATTTTTCTTTTCAATAATGCAGAGAGGTAAAATTTTTTTTGGATAAATTTCTATTTTTCCCACAGCTATAAGCACGTAGCGTTTTATTTTTTTTTTCAATTTCATTTTTGCGTGACTTGTCAATAATTGTATCTTCTTTCTCAAGTATTCAATTAGAAAAATCTTTTTTGGAAAATTTCTTTTCCATCTATTTTTTTATTAAATTTTTTCTCACATATTATTTTTCATTATGGTAGATTGTTTACTGCAAAAAAAAAATTATTTATTTATTTATTATCTTCTACTTTGTTTATTAATCATATTAGTGTAAAATAAATTCTACTGATGTTTATTAAACAAAAATTTTATAGATTAAAAACCTTTAAAAAAAATTTATAATAATTTAATTTTAATAAATAAAAGTAGATAAAAATTAGTAATTCAAAGATTATAATGAGTAAATTAGATTAGATTAAAAGTGAAAATCTTTTATAAAGATTACAGGTATAAATTCTATAAAAGTTTTTCTTTTTTTTTTAGCAATAAAACCACGTGGATAGATAAGAAGCTAAGCAGGATATTTATTAATTTTTTTTTTAATTCAATTTATGCAAAGAATCTAGTTATCAGATGAGATTAAAATTATTATTATCATACGAAAAATATAGATTTTTATTTTGATAGTTGAGTTGTAGGTTCCTCTTATAAAAGCTGTCGGCAAAGAAATTTCCTGAAAATATATTATGTCGATATTTATTCTTTGATTTTGCATTTTTAAACTGCATGCGACTATTTATATAACTAAAAAAATAATTTATAAATATTATAACAATTAATTAATTAAATTATTGTTATTTACATTTTTTTTTAATTTCACATTTTATTTTATAGGCTAATGGAGAGAATACGAATAGCAACTCACATCAGGAATACATTTTGGATGACGATGAATGTCCTTTAGCAATTCTCATGAATCACCCTTCAACACGTGGTGAGTTTTTTTTTAAATTTATCTTATTTGCATTTTTAGTCGCACATTAGAAAAAAAAAAAGCTAGAAATTCGTGGTAAAAATCTCGTCAAATATAAGAGAATTTTTACATAACTATTATTTATATTGAACTATAATTATTTTTAAACGTGAGAATATAAAAAATTTGAAAATTTTCCTGAATTTAAAAAAATAGAAGTTTAGGGAAATTTTATGGAATTTTTGAAAATGATACGATTTTTATAACTTTTATTTAAAATATTATTATTTATTTAAATATTTATTATATAAATAATTATTATAATTTATTTATAATAAATAAATAATATAATAAGAATTTTAATATAAAAGATATAAAAATTATAACGTATATTATGAAAATTTTTGAAAAACATTCTCTTTAAATTTGCATCAAGTATACATATTACAAAAAATATAATATCAAAAACAAGACTTTCTACTTAGCGCAAAAGTTGCAAAGAGAATTTACAATTACATTAAATTTAAAATGAAATTTCAAAATGTCGTTCACTATGACATGAAAAATAATATTAATTCATTAAAATGAAATGTAGTTATGTTATATTTTTAATGGCCTATTGTTCAGAATAGTTTTATTTTATTAAATTATTCTCTACAATACAATTTGGTTAATTTTATGTTCTTGATATATTATTTCGAATTCATTTAAAAACAAAGAGACCAAAAAAAAACAATGAAAAAAATTGTTTAATTATTTATTAATTTATTTAAAAAAAAATTTTTTGCCTTTTTGTAAAAAAGAATTTCTTAAATATTTTTTCCTTTTTTGGCTTTCAAAAGTTGAAAATATTCACTTTAATAGCTTTTGTCCCTTATGAGATAGTTGGACGATTAATCGTAGTTTAAACCAATTTCTTTGATCTCACAAGACTTTGAATTATTGCTCCATGTGAAAACTGTACAGGCTCTGAAATATTGAACGGCTTCCACTCATGCGCATTCAAATAATAATTTCTATGCACAGAAATTGTTATTCTTTATTTTCGTTCAATATATATTTTTTATAGTTAATATTTTCTATTATTATTATTATTTATTAAATATATTTTTTTTGTCATAGTTTGCAGATTTTCTTAAAATTGTTTTTTTTTTATTTAAATAAATAATACTTTTATAAAATTTTGATAATTTTTAAATAATTGGAAATTTTTTAAAATTTTGAATTAATTTTTCTTTTCACTAAAGGAATTAGTTTTTAATATATATCTATTCAATTTAACGTAATTTATATTAGGCTATTGTGCGTGTTGCATAATTATGTGAAACACCCTTCAAAAATTCTTTATTCACTCTTGAGAAGTTTATGATTATTATCTTTATAAGACAGCAGATTTTGACTTTGTGCGAATACGATGATAAAAATGTGGAGGAAAAAAAATTAGGTGTCAAATAAATAAGAAAAGAATAAAAAAAGAATTTACTTTCCTTGCTTTGAAATAACTCGAAAAAAAAACTTTTTGCAAAATATTTTCAATTTCACTGAAAGAATACAATTTTAATTAAATGATTTCTAATTAGTATACGCACATTTTTTTCAATTAGGTAAAATAAAATTATAGTGAAAGAAAAAGAATAATAATAATTTCTGTTCTTCATTATAAATTGATTGATTCGATTAATCATTAGGTGCTATTCTTTTTAATATTTCATGAATTAAAAAAAATTATAAATTTACAGTTTTTATTATTATTTACATTTTTTTTTTGGCAAAACAAAATTTATTTACTGCAAATAAAATTTTATTTTTATAAAAAAGGTATTTAAATTTTGCTTTGTGATAAATATATTTTTTTTTATTTTAATTCAAGTCATTATTTTTTATTTCAATTATATTTGATTTGAATGAAAAAGGACTATTTTGAATTAAAAATATTCCAAGTGGTTATTTTTTAAAAATCTTTTATCAATTTTTGGAATTGTATTTTTTTTTTAATTTTTTTTTTTTTTTTTTGAAAACTCGTGTAAATTTGATAGATGTACTTCATTGTACTGACCTACTACTCTAAAGAGAAAGAGAGAGAAGTACCACTTTACAGGAGTAGGGCTTCATAATTACAATCGATCGACTCTCTTAATTATAAAGTAAACGCCTCGAAAGGAGTACAATATATATCAATATATATATATATAGAAAAAGGATAAAAAAAAAATGTCAAATATATCTGTCAAATTATGTGTATTTTGAGCTTTAACAAAAATTAATTTTCGAGGAAAGAAAATTTTTCCTAATTAGAATTTTGATAGTTCTCCTTTTTTATTTACATTTATTTGCTTAATAAAAGTTTTTACTAAATAGAAATGTTAAATAAGAGTTTGGTAAAATATAAAATTAAATAAAAAATTCTGTTAAATTAAAATAATAAATATTAAATAATAAAATATAAAAAAAATCTAATTTATACAAAAATTATCAAACAGAAATTCTGTCTAATAAAATTTTTTGGCTTTATAGAAATTCATTTAAATAACAATTACAGATTAAAAATTCTCTTAAATAATTCCGTGCGTGAAATAATAATTGAAGCTTTTCACCCTCAGTATTTATTATAATATAAAGAAAGTTAGAAGCAGTATAATAAGAACAATAATAATGATGATAAATAAAAACATGTTGAACCAGTTTCCATTTTTTAGAGTCTTGAAGGATGCATTATTATTCGTATATGTATATGTATATATATATATGTATATATATATCCTCGTAAACCGTAAGGATTGGCTTAACATGGTGGGGGCGAAAAGGTCATGCTGCCAAGCCTTGACTGGCTGTGCCTCAGTTGTGCCCTCAGTTGCTTGTCGCTCGTTGAATTGAGCAAAATGCTTTTAACTCGTGCTTACAATATTCATATAATAATTATACACATATATATTATTGTTTAAAAAGAGCGCCGTTTTTGCGTCTCGAACGCGTGATTCTGTCACACTAAAAACAATAACAATAATCACACGTGTTTATGACATATATATAATTGAAAAAAATAAATCTTCTCCAATTTCTCTTTTTTTTCAAATCAAGACAGAATTCTCATGAGTGCAATGTTGGAACAAAAAAGAAAACTTTGACGCAATATTTTATTTACAAAAAAAAAATAATGCAATGATGGAGACTGAAAAATATTTTTTAATATTAAATAAAACACGCAAGGATTAAAAAAAAAATAATGAAGAGCTGTATTTTTCTAAAAAAAAATATAATATATATATTTTTTTCTTCTAGAACTGGACCAATATTCTACAATTGTCAACAACGAAATTTTAAATGAAATATTTTTTTAATAATATTAGCGAGAAAAAAAAATGTAGATTATTATCAACGACCAAAAGGATTTACTTGGACCAATATTTTTAGAATTACTACAACGAATTTATCGATCAGTTGCCACAATGATAATTGACCAAAAAATCAATATTTGAAAAAAAAATGGATTATTTTTATTTTACAAACAATGAGAGGAAAAAATTTTCATTGTTGAAAGAAGAATATTGTATATGTTGAAAGGGTCAACATTGACCCCTTCATGAATTCAACCTCAAAAAGAGATGGAGCAACTTAATTAACTCAAGTGCGCCATAAATCTCCGCCTAAATCGACAACGTGGAAACTGTGTAGTCACGTTTTTTGTGTTTTTTTTTTTTTTTTTTTTTTAACTATAATGACACTGTCACTGTTAAACAACGAGCATTTACTTCTTTATTTCTTCTATATAGAAAAATTTTAATCGAAAATTTACATTCAATTAAATAATTAATCGAAAGGAAACGATAATGGAAAAAAAAATGAATTTTTATTTCCAAAAAAGGGATTAATCTTTGAGAGAGAGTATATTTTTCAAGAAATGTATTATATGAGATAAGTGATTTTTATACAAATTGAAAACAACGGAATTTTAAAATGAAAATGGACCAAGAGGAGGATTCTTCAAATTTTCTATAGATATAAAATTCAAAGGAGGACCAAAAGTTTCCAATGGACCAATTTTAATTTTGTACTATAATAATTGCAAAAAAAAAGAAAAAAAAATTATTTTCCAAATGAATTTTTTGTAAAAAGAAGAAAAAGGATGCGGAAGAAAAAGAATATAAAAATATAGTCAAAGTGTTAAAATTAGAAAATGAAGATCTTAAACTCTTTCTATATTGGAATATGTTAAAGAGAGATGAAGATTGAGAATAGAGATTTTATGTGAGGAGCTATATATAACCAATCAGAAAACTAAAATCCTACTATCAATATGATGGATTGGGGAATAAGACGTGAGTAAAATTTCCTTTTTTCACGTTCGATAAAAAAAAAAAAAGGATTTTTTAATATATTTCCTTTATCATCATGAAGAAAATTATTTACATTGAACAAAATTTATTTAAAATTATGTAAATTAAATAACGCATGTATTTTAATTTATTTGATACTTTGAATTATTATCCAAGAATTATTTATATTTGTATCTAAAAAATTATTATTTGGATCATTTTTTTTTAAATACAGAAATTTTGGTTCGATTCAAATAATAATTATTTGGTTCAATTAAAAATTGTTTGGTTCAATTAAAAATTGTTGAAGCAAAAATTAATTGGTTCAAATAAAAATTATTCGCGGTTCAATTTTAAAATCAATTATTTATTAAAATAAATTTTTGTCAATGTATAAAAATTTGAAAAAAAAGGAAAATAGAAAAAAGAGAGACAATGAGAAATTGTTGGGAAAAATACTCAAAATGATTTATAAACAGTAAATGCCAGTTGTCATGAACTTTTAACGAGTCAGTTCCATGTCTTGTTTTCATTTGAGATTGCTAATTATGTCACAAACAGGGCTCCTAATTACTTATCATCTTACTAAAACAAGTAAAGTTTTAACTTTACATAACAGGCACGTTCCGAGTTCATATAAAAGTCATGAAACAACTACTGAAATATATATATATATATATATATATACATATACGAATTTATATTATA